CTCTCTCTCTCTCTCTCTCTCTCTCTCTCTCTCTCTCTCTCTCTCTCTCTCTCTCTCACGACTTCAACTGTTTTCCCGTTGTTTTTTTTTCGTTTGTGTATTTCATTTTTTTTCTCTTCTTTCTTTTTTGATCGTGTGTCGTCCCTACAAAAGCGGGGCCCGGCCTTGGCGCTACGACCGGGCCTTCCCTTGGCCGACCAGCCTGAGGCTGCGGCGCGTATACGGGAAGGCCCGCGGCCGAACACTGAGCGAGGTACTGGTGATTTAACCTAATAGAGATTGAATACAGGGGAAGATGGAAGAGGACAAGTAAGAAAATAGATAATAACCCCCTAGACAAGGATAAAATAATTGAAACGTTCAAAAAACAAGTACTAGGAGAAGGGAAAATAGCATTAATAACGCAGAACAAAATCCAATTTGGGCAATGGAGATACACACACTCAACCCACTCCCAGATGCTAGAACACCAAGAAGCAGAACCCATTTGACAGACATCTCGTCAGGCGTGAATTAAGTCTTAATATCTGCATATAGATCCCGTAGGAGGGGTCCGACAGCACAACCTCCAATAACTAACAGAACCGCAGGCATGTGTAAATTTTAGGAGAACCAGAGTTAAAACCGTACGAGGAAAGACAAAACAAAGCTCGTATAACAGAGGACTAGAAAAAGCCTAGGGTTTAGGGTCTAAGAGAATGCTGGAGGCAGAAACAACAGTACAGATATATTATAGAGAAAAAAAAAAAAAGAAAAAAAAAAGAGGAAAGGATACCTAAGCTTCAGCGATTGGGATACTAGCCACCAAGACTTTGAGACCAAGAATCGGATAACTCAAGGGATGAAGAGAGGGACATGGAAGGGGATGAATAAGAAATCAAGGAGGAAACAACAATAGATCCTAGGAAAACTACAAAAGAACTCACCCTCAATTTCCTCAAAGGAAAAGGGAAGGATAAACCAGACAAGAAAGACCCAAACAGGGGAATGGGGCATTACATTAACGCACTCAGGGCAGTGGGGAGCACAGACTCCCATAAAAAAGATAGGAAACACCTAGCTGACTAAGGAGACTTATCTTGGGATAAAAGAGGCAGGATAGAAAGGTTGACCATCAAAAGGAGAAAATAAAGACCAGAAGGGTGAGCGAGAGGGAGACTAGGGTTTAGGGTTTAACACTTCACCCTCTGCAAACATCGCTAGACAATCCACAGGACAACGAATTTAAAAAAACAAGCAATACCAGTAGACAAACACTAGAACCCATCAGCCCGTACCTAACAATGCCTCAGCAAATGGAACGATTAGGAGGCTAGGCTCTTAGCAAGGCCCACCGCATAGGGACCAATCAGCAGTTCTAGCAAGCAAGATCAATCCGACAGTCAAAGTACTGAGAGGAACAGCTTGAGCGGATCGCAAGCAAGCAAGACCCCATTCCCTAAACAAGGACTAGTAAAGATCTGCTGATAGGAAGAAGAGCAAGGTAGCCCAGGCTAACTTAGGCAGGGGTAAGGAGCGGTATATCCTTCCTACGAGAAAGCAATCAATGCCATCCTTCGGGCCTCCACACCATACGGGGGAGGAGCGTGTGTGAGTACTCATTGTAACTCTTTCTGACTTGCCGGGGGTATAACCGGACTGATGCCCCCCAGAATGGAAAAGGAGCCAGAACCGTAAGGTTCTGTTTAAAAAAAAAAAAAAAAAAAAAAAAAGAGCAGGATGAGAATGGACATGGGACTCATGATGGGAGGGATTTCCCATCCACAGTCGAAAGTGGCATGGATGTGCACTGTGCAGCGAAGACTGGCATTGTGGGAATACAAAGCAGCTTTGCATTCATCAAATGGCAAGGAGCCCACATTAGCCATAAGGCTGCGTTTCATCCAGGCAAAAGAAAACCAGTCCATAAACCACCAGGACTTTTCCCAGCCATTTTTGTACGACGAGGCAGTGCTCTTGCCACATCTGCCGGGATGTGCCAGCCTGGCGATTAGCAAAATATACAATAGGAAAACGGGTTGTGCAAGCGACGTGCTTTGCCTGGATGTTTTTGTTGTGACCTGCCAGGCCGGTACATCCCCCCACACCCAGTGCAAGCACTGCCGCCGCATTGTAGAAAAATGGCTGGGGAAAGTACTGGTGGTCTACCTTAATTAAGATGGTCGAACTACCCCACTATCTTAAACCACCAGTACTTGGCCCAGCTACGGTCGCGGAAAAAAAGACAGTAGAAACGTTTCTAGTCGGATGAATTTGGGCACTCCTGTAGTAGCACCCGTACATTTCCTAAAATCATGGTGCGTTAACGGGCACGACTCGAGGAAGTACTGGTGGTTTAAGGTGGACAAATGAATTGAACTGGGGGCAGGCCGGTCAGTGCCTGCACCTACTGGCACAGGCCAAGTTTGACTGATGAAGTACTCAGGCTTTAACACTGTGCATGCAGATGAACAGAGTGGCTTCCTCACACTGTACCAGGTGTTGTGGGAATTTCAGTGCAAGTTCAAAACTGTACAAAGCTGGGACCCTTGGAGAGGATGGGATAGCAGAAAACGATTTTCTGTGGAATGACATGAAAACGATTCTGTGTGAGGAGGTGGAGAAAAGCCGCACCTGCCCATCACCAACAGACAGGTGACAACAAGCGGCCCAAATTGGTTCTCCCTTGCTTGCATATTGCTCTCCCAGTAAAACCCTTATACTGTCAGCCCTTTTCTTCTTCTTTTTCCTCTTCTTATGGTGCTTGAACCCCTCCGTCGTCCTTAGCTGACTCTGGAGCTCGCTTCTATTGAAACTGGGAGATGCTGTCTTTTCCAAGTCATCCTCCAACTTCTGGCCCGTGCTGCTGCTGCTGCTCACATCAATGGTGCGGCGATTACTCTGTCCTGAAGAAGCCGCGAGTTCCCCTCCTCCAGGGATACCACCCACAGGGGAGTCTGCCTCCTCCTCGTGCTTCTGCATTCTTTGGCTATTCTGAGGCCAGTCGGGGTCATCTGTGCTTCCCCCTCCTCCTCCTCCACTAACATTGCTTCTACCGGCCTCCACTTGAATGAGCCGTGACAGCTCAGCACTGATTCCTAAGGTAGTAGCTCTCCGCCGACCTAATCTGCTATTGCCGCCACCGACAAGGTTGACATCACCCTGTGTAGGACTCAGCGCGCTGTCATCCTCCTTGTAATCAGGATAAGCCCCAGCAGACCCCACCTTACCCACCAAGAACGCCTCTTCTAACTCGCCCTTATCAACCAAGATGTCGATGAGCTCATCGATGCTCCCACCGGCAATATGGTAGGCATAGACATCCGACGGCCCTTCCCAGTGGCTGCTGTTTTCCACTGCAGCCCTGCTTTGGATCGCCTTCTCAAGTATCAAGGACTTCCAGTACCCAATCGACACTGCTGGGGCAACAGATAAGGCCTTGTCCCATAAGTCCAACTGCTTCATTATCTCGCAGTACCTGCAACCATTTTATCCACAAGAATAAATTTCCATGATTCTAACGAACACCACAGCCATCCACTTAGAGCAACCTCGCCAGGAGTATTCTGCCCCAACAATCATATTATGGACCTTTGAGGGGCATATTACTATATTGCAAATGTGTGCGACAGGGATCTTGACTTTGACTTCGGGATACGTTCTTTTCCTTTTTTTTGTTTTTTTGAAAAAAAGTCAGTCCTGTTGTGCTGCTACTGGGAGTGGTAAGAGCAACTCCCAGTAGTAGCCCGGTGTGGCTAGCTCCAATCTATTGGTGGAGAGCATCACCTGCTGGAAACCGAGTCCAGCATCCCTTATACATTTTATTTTATTTTATTTTATTTTTTGCAAAGCACTGCCAGGCTTGCTAGGGGCGGTGATACGAGCTCCCGCTCCTAGCAGGCCAGCTAGAGGCTCCGATCTATTGGTGGGGAGCAGCAGCTGCTGGAAAACGGGTCCAGCGTCCCGCCGTCCCTGATACAAAGTTCCTCATGTATAATGCCTGCGATTATCAGATCTGCAACCTGCCTCTTCAGTCAATAAAAGGGCACCTGATATAACATGACCTTTATTAGCTAGGCTGCAGCTAAGACATTTTCCGAGATAAGCTCCTGTGCTCGGGCTGACCTCCATTGACTTTTCTTGGTCACCCATCCCGGGCAAACCACTGCAAATCAACCAGGGCTAGCTCTGACGGGGGAAACAAATCAGGGAAATCCTAGGGGGCCCTCAGAGGGATCCCAGGTTCAATCTGGCGCCACTCGTGGAAGATGAGTGCGTAGTCTTTTCTGAGAGGGGTTACTCCCTCCTCTCCCCCTGGCCATTCCACATGTGCCGTCCATCCCCCATTCTCCACCCACCAGCCAGTCAGTACAGAACTCAGTAATCGCTTTCTGGATGTCCCCCTTTTGTGTGAAAAATTGCATCTTTTCCTTTATGTTTTTCGAACTTTTTCTTTTTCCGTTTGGCTTTTAATTCTGTGTGAATGAATTGCTGTATTGTTTCAGTTGTCTCTTCCCCATCTACCTTGACCCCTTCCATGGCATGTACACAGCGCCTCCACCATAGACCCCACAGCACTGCCTTTCTGCCAAGTGAGAGGAGGTTGGCTGCAAAGGAGGAGGAGGTCGGCTCTCGCCAGGCTCCCAGGTCCCTTGTACATTCTGTGTTGCCTAACCCTTGTATTTGGGGGAAAAAGACAGTGCCTTGTGGGCTGAGGTTACCTACTGTAGAGAAGGGGTGCAGGACGTGAAGGAAGGAGAACGATATCTGTCTTCCTTCCAGGAAGTACCTTCCAGAGTGAGTGTAAAAAGTGTAGAGCGGTGGCCTAAAAGGAATTTGAACATGTCTCAACGACCTGGGGCCGGTCAATTCAATGGTGATATCTCAAGGTCCGACATTTCCAAAAAAAAAAAAAAACTAACAAACAAAAGACAGAAGTTTGGCCCCTCTGAGCCGAATTAGTACAGTGCTGATTTTCAGAGGGGGAGGAGAGAAAAGGGGAGGCTGGGCTGCTGGCAAATTATGCTGCTGGGCCCAAGTCCCACTAGCAGGGATTTCGTCCGACAGCCAGGACACCTCAAAAAAAAAAGCCAGCTCTTTTATGCAGTCGTTAGATTAGTGGGTTGCCCAAAAAGATCTGCTATATCAAGTGTGTAGGGAGAGAGAAAGGTAAAGACAGATGGGCTTGTTCCCCCCGACCCGTATTGGTAGGGTATTTGGCCATCACGGGTGTGCGTGTGTGCGTATGTATGTGGGTTGTGGGTGGTGTGTGGGAGAGTGCTGCCCGTAGACGCTGCTGTTACTCGACGGGGGCGGGGGAAGTACATGGGAGGCGCAGCTATCAGCAAAATGCTCGGCCTTTGCATTAGAAGGGCCCCACCACTGGCGGCCCCACCCTACTCCCTGACCACCACCGATTAGGGCGGGGGGCAACATGCATCCCCTTAATTGTGAGATGTACCTATGCTTGCAGGGGTCCCCTGTATAGTCTGAGGAAGTTAGGAGTAGTGGTACGTAGGTAGTAACAGGTGAAATTGAGAGAACAATATAACTTTTTTCTTCTTCTTCTTTCTTTTTCTTTTCCAAAAAGAAGAAGGAAGAAAACGAGGGGGTCCTTGTTTCTAGAATACGGCTTCTTAGGCTAGAAAATGAGGACTCTGGGCGTTTGGGGGGGGAAAGGATTATGTGGACATTGCCCTGGCTAGTGGGACTTGGGCATTTGGGGGGGGAAATTGGCCCCCCAAAAGCCCTGCCAGTGGCTAGTGGGAAAAAGGCTAGAACCGAGGACCCTGGGTGTTTGGGGGGGGAAAGGATTATGTGGAAAAAAAATTATTAAATTCTTCTAAACCCCCTATGTCTGGGCGTCAGATCTGTCAGATCCAATGTCAATAGTTGCCACTCATGTCACACTGTACTAGGCTTCTAAGCCAAACCCCTGCTAGTGGGACCTGGGCCCTTGAAGCAGCTTTGCTCACTCAGTCTGGACCAGAGAGATACAGATGCAGGGATTCCACTGAATTACTTGTACGTGTCATCTGAGTCTATCTCTCTTGCTCTCTTTTCTTATAGCTCAGGTTCAATCTCTCTTGCTCTCTTTTCTTATAGCTCACGTTCAATCTCTCTCGCTCTCTTTTCTTATAGCTCAGGAACTTTGCCAGTATGGCACGGATCGTCGTTCTTTCAAGAATTATTTCAGTGCGCTCAGCTCTTTGGTCATCACGTCTATGGCTTTCTTCATCTGTTTCCTTACCTTTCTTCATCTGTTTCCTTACCTTCCGCAGTTTGGGGGTACCATGAACTGAACTAGGCCAGCTGGTCGCTAGCTTGACTGCGGTATACATCCTTGTTTTTTTCACGGCACCCATTGGCCATCACAGACAACAAGATATTCTTCTCCTGAGCGGTGCAGTCAGGTCAGCTTCCAACCGTACCGCTCACCTTCCAAGCATGCCTGTGTATAGTAGATTCCCTTTCAGTGACAGAAGGTGTTACGGACTCCGCCAGGGCTCGACCCCCGGTCTATCTTTTTGCTGTTTCTGCTGCATTCCGTTTTCGGCCTGGCACCCTTTTTTTTCCAACCCCCTCCTTTGGTACCGTCAGATTTTGGACAACTGGCACCATGCTGCAATTTGGGCGCCACTTTCAAATACCGCATTTTTCAGTTCTGCCCTTGGGGCTTTTGCGGAAATGCCCCTGGTACCTTACGTGTCACCGGTACTTATACCGGCTCCCCGTACAGTACGGGGACCAGTCTCGTACCAGTTTTCAGCTGCTGTACTCGTACTCAGTGTGACTTGCTGTTTCGGCATTCGGAACCCAAGACTTTGACTTTGTGTCTTTGCCACTAAGTCTGCGTCCGTTGAGTCCCTCAGTCGTGTCGAGTGAGTGAGTGTGTGTGTGTGCTCTCACTCTCTCTCTCTCTCTCCTCTCCCTCGGCTCTCCCTGTCTCCCTCAGCCTCGCACTCGTTACACTAGTATCGGAGAAGTTTGAACCTGCCCGACCCACCCTGTTTCGTCATCGTCATCCTCGAGATCGTTGTCGCCGTGCCACGTCGTCATCGTCATCGTCGAGATCGTCGTTGCCACGTCATCATCGTCATCGTCGCCATCGTGCCACGTCATCAACATCATCGTCGTGATGGTCGTGGCCGTGCCACGACATCATCATCATTGTCGCGATCGCCATCGTCTCCCCACGTCATCATCGCCGTGCTCCTCGTCCTCGTCGCCGTGTCGTGCCATCCTCGTCGTCGACGCCATTGCACCACGCAGATAAGTAATTGACGACAATGTTCTTTTTCCTTTCTTCTTCTTCTTCTTTCTTCCTCTTATCTTCTTCTTTCTTCTTCTTCTTCCAATTATCTTCGTTCTTTTCTTTTTCTCTTCTCTTTCTTTTATTATTATTCTTCCCCGTGCGATTCTTCCTCCCCGCGCGATTCTTCCTCCCCCCTCCGCGCAATCCCGACTT